TTTATGCACTCTTGGTTTGGGTGAGTAAGCAGGGCCTAACCCTGCTTAGTGGTTAACTTAGTCGCACAGAAATCAGCGGGACCGTGCCCCTCTGTGGTCGGCCCTCTATGCCATCCTTAAGAGCTGTGTGATACAACACGTTGTTTCAGGTATTTGCTTTGTTGGATGAAAAGCTGGATGGGAGCTGTAGTTCCTGCTAAAAAAACTGCTGATGCATAATAGCGTTTCTATTTCTATGAGGAAAGCCCCACTGTCCAGAAAAGAAGGACCAAATATTAATTCTTTTTAAAAGCTAGTAAATTAATTTTTTTCCTGAAGTTTTACAAGTAAGATTATCATCATAGGTGTATTGCAAATGAAATTTGTCGAGACTGCTTAGACTTAGAGGGAAAAAGAGTACCAATGGCATGGTTTTAAGATGGTGCCTTCTAAGAGCTGATCAGTTCCACTCAGTTCAACAAACAGTACAAAAAATTAAAAAAGGATATTTACTAGCAGCAATTTGATGTTTTCATCACCAATATGAAAAATACATACGACAAGCTTTGCCTGGGATGCATGCCTCGTGTAACTGCCATCAAAGAAAGCTTTTTTAATATTCTTCTGGGAGCAGTGTGAGTCTGAATCCCAGTCCCAGTCGCTACACGTGCTTACAGGTCCCGCTCAAAGAAATCAGTGCAGTGGAATGTGCAGATGTGGAGGATGGGACTTGGCAGCCTTTTTACCCCCGTTAGGTAGTGCTCGAATTCAGCCCGTGAAGCTGGTTTACCAGTTAAGTGGCTTGGAGCGCTCTTTTGAAGCACCTTGCAAGGAGTATTTATAACTTTCTGAAAGAGGGCTCCTGACCAGGAGAACAACCTCTGGTCATCAGCCTGTTCCTCTTCTTCCTGAAGCCCTGCCATTTACTCTCTGTGACCACCCTCACTTCCCAGCTGGCATCCACAGTCCCCAGTTACTGCAGAACTTGCCAGCCAGAATCAGTGTTCCTGTCTGAGTCCCAACCCTGACTGAGATTCTCAGTCCAAAGAATCTGTCTTCTTGTGTAGGCAGCTCATCAGTGCTGACATCAGTCTCCTTCAAGGCAAGAAATATGCTTGCTTTGAGAGATGTGCATCAATTCTAACCACCACTTTGTCTCTTTAATGTCACAGAAGTTCAGCTAGGAGGCTGATTTCATGCAATCAAGACTGTCTAGAACGTTTTCATAACAAAGAGTTGTATCAAAACATCTATTTGCTCCATGAAAAATTGAAGAGACGGGTGTACCCTTGCTTTCCAGTCACAAGTGACCACAAGGCCCTGAGACTAAAAAAAAAAAAAGTTTCTCAAGAAACGCTTGGATGAATCTGACACATCAGCAAAATGTAGTCCTTTGCATATTACAGTGATTCCCAGGAGTGCCAGAGTGCTTGCTGTGCATTAATGAATTATGCCTTACGACATTAAGTGTACCGGAATAAACATTATCTATTTATTTGTCTGATAGAAAGGTATTCCGTTCTGAACTGGATCCATATTGCAGAGGTCTCCAAGTTCAAGAGTCTTTATCACCAGGTCTATATTTCAAGTTGATTTCTCTTCTTTATAAGGTAATGCTATTTTCATCATTAATATCCCCTCTTCCTGAAAAGCGTACATCTTCGCAGTGCAACCCAGCATTTCTGTTGTATGTTTTCTTTACTTGGCTGCATTTCTATTTACTAGTAAATGGATTTCTGAGTTATTGCAAATTTTTTAATGATGAAATTTCAGATTTTCTGACCTCTTCTCCATGGCAGCTTTGAACATCTTAATTGTTTCTGTTTTCACCTGTTCTTGAAGCGCAGGCAAAATGATCTCTGGCTTAATGAGTTTATCGTGAATAGAAGTCCTTGTAATTTCTGAATATTTGAGGAAGTTGGGAAATGTATTTGTGTTAGACACAACAAGGATATTTATTATTAAAGGAATCTCTAGCACAGCAATATTGTAACTGATTAAACAGCATTGTTTGTCTCAGCAAGAATTAGTGTCTCTAAACTATAGGTATAGCTATCCTTCATTTTTATCTGCCATTCCTACTTCAAAGCACTTCTGCCAAATGTGTATAGTACTTGGAAAAAAAAGTGTATATGCTTGCATCTACCTATTAGCAATAAAAGAGATGCACAGGATAAGAACCTAGTATTATGACTTAATCAAAATGGCCAGCAAGAAAATATAAATGAGGTATTGTTGGTGTGGCCGTGTGTTTGCAGGGTTGCTTTCAGCAATGGCTCGACCTTACAGTTCTGGGGGGTTCTGGCTGGAATAATCTAGGTCGACTACATTTTGTAGGAAGAAAAGGAGGAAGAAAGCTTGATTATTGGTCCTACTCTGTCTGAAATTTTGTCATGTAGAATATTTGAGCAATGTGTTTGAGATGACGAAATGTTCATTCAGTTTTCGTTACTGGCTGGTTGGCGTTTGATTCCACCTTCACTGAACTCAGATCAAGAGATGGAGAAGCCTGGACTCTGTCATGTCTACCTCGCCAAACAGCTTGATATCATCGGCAAACTTGCTGAGGGTGCACTCAACCCCACTGTCCATGTCGCCGACAAAGATGTTGAACCGTACAAGTCCCAGTACCAACTCCTGAGAAACGCCACTCGTAACTGGTCTCCACTTAGACATCGAGCCATTGACCACAACTCTTTGATTGCGCCCTTCCAGCCAGTTCTTTATCCACCGAGTGGTCCATTTGTCGAATCCATATCTCTCCAATTTAGAGACCAGGATATTGTGCAGGACGGTGTCGAACGCTTTGCACAAGTCCGGCTAGACGACATCAGTTGCTCTTCCCTTGTCCACTGCCGCTGTAACCCTTTCGTAGAAGCCACCAGATTTGTCAGGCATGACTTGCCCTCGGTGAAGCCATGCGGGCTTCAATCATAACTGATACGTCTTGTAGAATTGTTTGGGTTTCTATTTAAGAAGCTCTCTATCAAAATGCATTTCATGCAGTTAGCTGGCATGCTTTGTTTGATTCCTTTGGGTGTCGTAGTTTTATATTTTACTCATAAATGGCTCAACAGTTGAAAGATTGGGCTTGGGGAGCCCTGCCCAGTCAATTTACAGATTTGGAATTAATGTTTTCATACAAATTTCATAGGTGGTACTTGTGCATCTCAGTAATTCCCTGTACATCAAGCTCGTCATTTCTTTCCATATATGCGCTTTTGTTTTAGAAGCACAGTAGATCATAATCATAAATGTTTCATTTACTATAAATATTTAATAATTATGAATGATTGATGACCAGATTTTTAAGCAAACTGATAAAGTTGCGTGAAATGAAAACTACCTTTGCATAATTTTCTAAGCTGTACTCTAAATATTACACGGGCTTTGTTGTGCTATTAAGATGCATGGCTGATTGGTATTTTCATGAAAAATATTAGCACATGGGTAACAACAAGAAAAATACACTTTTTATAGTTGTATTGGCAATAAAATTAATCTGGATGGACTTTCTTGTGGATACAAGAATTTCTGTGTCACCAATTTTCATCCCATTGTGAGGCATGCCTTCTTTATAGGTTATTTTAAAGACGTTTTTTCAAGAGGATGTGCTTTTTATAACACAGCACTAATAGCTGGCTGTGTTTCAGTGACTACTTTCACCTATTTTGCTTTCAATTTTTTCTAATTGCCTTTGATCTCCCTGGGGCTTTGAAGCCAAAAAATAAAAACCCATAAAAGGCTTATCTAATTATGAGGGCACTTGCATCTCTAAAACATTCCATTAACAATGCTGCGTTCTGATTCACGCAACCAGCTGAGGGTCTGCACACCTCTCCCGCAGACGGTTTTGGATGTCTCGCAGATTAGTGAAGAATCACTTTGCCAATAGGTGCCACTGTTGCTCTGCACACACGTCTGAATCATCAATGTCCTTCAGTTGAAAATCCACCCTTGAAAAAGCAAACCTAGATCACCGTGACTAAAACGTTGCAGAGGTAAAACTCTGTACAGACCATGGCCAGAGGCTTGTCCGTGCCAAGAGTAAGGTGTATGCTTTATCTTGTTCCTAAAAATAATTATGTTATTGCTAATCTTGAGCAAAACTGATGAAGAGAGAAATATGCATTGAATTAATTGCTGATATATTTAGTCTAAGCCTTTAACTTGCTGCAAGTTTATTGTTGAGCCTCAGACCAATAGCAGCTGAACCTTGCAAATAGCTTCTCTGGACCAAATGGGATTTAAATGCGGAAGTTGCACATCAGTGCAAGAAGAATTTGGACTTCTGTCAGTACTTTTTATGTAGGTTGTTCACATGCTTTCCTAACTGAGTGAAGTATCAGGGTGGCCTATCCTGCAGTATAAAGGCCACCTGCAGCTATTTCTTCTAGGTTTAGCGTTTGGCAATATAAGGTCAGCTAATGTAGTTCACTCTGCAGCTTATCTACCCTCAAGTGCTATTCAGTATGTAAAGCCAAGGGCAATCAAGGTCCGCTTGCCTACTGCAGTGGGAGAAACCTTGGTTCACCTTGCCCTTAGATATGCAGCCGTTTCATATGTTTGCTTCATTCTTTTATGTTTCAGACACATTACAGAATAACACAAGCTTCTTTTCTCCTCTTGCTTCAAAGAAATGTACAGCAAATTGTATAAAAATAAAAGGAAAAAAAACAACTAAGGACAAAGCAGTTAAGAGATTTATATCCTTTCAGGTTCAATGCCACTCTGAGGTTTTTTTTCTTACTGCAACTGTTCATTGAATAGAAACCAACAGATGAAAATTTTGTTTTCAGTGATTTAATATATCTTCTGAACTAGTCCCAGCCATCTGCAGGTCAGAATGTAACCCAGCAACTTGTTCTAACTAGTAGACAGCCTTCCGCGTATATAACCTAATTCTCATTCCTTCTGCATGGACAGATCACTCTTACGTACACGGGCAACAAGCTATATTAAGTAGTACTTAAGATCACGCTAAGCAGTTTACACAAAGGCGTCCCCTGCTTTTCCGTCTCTCACCAGTTGCTGGTGCCTTGCAGATATTTCTGACCCCCTTCATAGTCCAGGATTCTGCTGATGTTTTGGGGAAGATGTCCCCAAATGGGAATGAATTTTAGGTCATGAATTTTGGCTGGTTGTCTCAGTTGACGAGTCACAAAAGAAGAGATCAGAGGGCTTTCATAGGAAATGGTGTAGACGCTGTTCATCACTCCAGCTTCTTCCTCGTGCCATTTTTTCATGAGGAGCTCAAGAAGGCCATAGTTGGTCGGTGGTTCTGAGACAGGAAATGATTAAATGTTAGAAATTACAGAATTAAATTTTTGGTCTTGGTGTTTTTACTCCACAGTTGTCATAGGGAATATTTGTACTATTTTGACAGCAGATTAAGGACAAAACAGATCTTTTTGTTCCGAGGGCACATATGTCTACCCTCTGGCCACAAAGGAAAATTGCTCTTCGATATCAATAGGACAGCAGTAACGGTATATATGTAAGGAGTCCTGATTCCTCATAGTCTCTCTGGTAGATATTTAAAAAGTTAGCAGAGCTGTACATGTCACTTAAATTTAGAAACATAATACTACTCTGGGAATTCTCCTGCTGGTTGTATCTCACAGCTCTCCTTGTTTTCAGCTGGTGTCTTGCATGATTGCATAGGGGAGAGAAATCTGTTCATTGACACTATCCTTCACTGCTTCCTATGCTGATTAAGTATTGTTGTATGGATAACATTTCCCATTATCAATCAGAAGAATAAGCTACTGACTGGGTAAGAAACTAGCCAAAAGTCACCGCAAAATCCATTTTCAGAATTAAAACGATTCTGAAACGGCGATTCCTGGCTCTAAGTCTGTATATCTACCGCTGCACCGTGTTCCATCTGTTTGAATTAACAATGCCAAAAGCTACCAAGAATGGGGAAATCTGATTTCTGAGGAACCCAGGCGAGCTTGCGTCCATTCCAGCTGCGGAGGGGAGGCAGCACAGGGTTGTAACCGCGTCTATTGTATTTATCGTCATACTCCGATACTAAATTTCGGCTTCTTGGTTCCTCATGATGGGTGAAGAAGTGCTGCATTGGCAGGCCCTGAAATGAGATGTACATGAAACCACGCTATTTGTCTTTGTATGTAGCATCCAGATGCCTTAGTGTGCTTTTGAGTCAGACTTTACTACCAGAGATATCACAGAATTTTGTCGGTACTACTTTTTTTTTTTGTCAGTATTACTTTTACTTATAATTTAATGCCTGAAAATAAGGGCATTTGCATTTCAAGTAAAGTAAATTTCCAGTTAAATTAAGCAACTACATCTGTATGTCATGAGATCTGATTAGTCTGATTTCAACATATGCATCCCGGATTTGCAGATACGTTTAAGAAGCCTGCAAATGAAAAGCTGATTGTCTTGTGCTGCTTAAGCGTTTAATTGTGCACTAGCATTACATATACTGCCTTCCAACTGGCTGTCAGGAGAGAATGGTAAGAATATTTGGGGGTGGAGAGGCACCTTGGAGGAAGGGACATTCTAGCAGATGATAACTTGGGGGAAAAGTATTGTGAAAGATCTGGGACTCATTTAAGTGCAGTTCGTGCCTATGAATCGGAGATGTGCTGCTGAAAATAATCCTCTTTTACCAGCAAGCTCATATCGTAGCCCAGGGAATGTCCTGAAGACACAACACCCAGTCCTAGCTGGCTGATTTTTTTCATATGCCCTGGTCACCCTCTGAGGCAGAGACTGGGAGACAACCAGAGGGGCTACCAAGAAGTATGTGCTGTTTATCTACCTCTGAAAGGCATCCGACTTTAATCAAACATACGAGGGAGTTCTGGATCCTGTAAACTGGCCACGGAGCTACAGTGCCTTCTTTTACACATACCGTTGTTTAAGGATATAAAGTATGGTTTAAGTATTAGTCAATGATCATCGCTGTTTGGAACGTTGGCACACACAGCCCTACGTTTGAAATTTTTTTTTGCTTACCTCAAATTTTCCCATCATGGTTCTCCTTAGTGTTTGGTCCGGTTTGTGATCTGGGAAGCAAATGAAGTCTGTTTTGTATATGCTGCTGCCGAGTTTCCCAGTGTCTTTTATAAACTAGAGAGATGTACAACGCTCAGTATAGTTAAGGCAATCTGATAATTACAGAATCTCTGTTCCAGTGCTGATTTCTTCATCTACGCATTTAAAAAGCACTTATTTGGAAAGAAGTCTGTGCTACACACTTTTTCTCAGATGGTAAAGTCAGCTGGTATAATCAGCCATTGTAAAATTCTGGATTGATTCCTTGGTGTAAATATAAGATACTTTACAGCCTTTGAAAAATTATTCATGGTTTGGTGTTAAATACTTTCACCTGGCACCTGAACTACCATCTGAAAAGGACAAATTATTTTTTTCTGTCCCTTTGTTCCTACTTCTGCCACAGCAGGACAGTCTCGGCAATATAGTCTAGCATTTTGCTCCAGAAAAAAAAATAAATCTAAAGGAAGTAATTTTAGCAGTCAGGAGGATTTGCCCTATCAGCTCCAACTGGAACCTAACTGGCATGTTTTGACAAAGTTAAATGTTTTATGATAAAATTTTGCTCAGCTCTTAAGCAGGGCATGCAATCTATTGAGCAGCTCCGCTAGCATGCTCTTGTTTATACAAGCAAATTAAACCAATATCCAAATTATTAAAGATCCTCTGACACAAGTAATAATAAGGATTAACTTATGGGTTAATGAAGGGTCTCTTGTATAATGTTGGTATATATTATTAGGTTGTATATATTGTTGTATAGTTGCATGTAAGTTGTGTAGCAGTCTGAAGTCATTTCCATAAAAACTGCAATAGCATTTTTAATCGCTTCATGTTCCATCTGGTGTGAACCGCACAATATAACCCATGCTCAGGCATTGCTTCTCTCCTGGAGTAGAGAGAATGGCAGATCATAAAGAAAATGAATTGATGTAGGACAAGGAAGATGCTTCTCCTCCCTTTTGTTACTCTTCTGAGATGAGCCTGGACTCTACCTTGGGGCTGTAGCAGTATACAACCTCCAGAGTGCTGGGTCTGACCCACTCTATTCCTGCTCTCACACTTCTTTCCCGATCTTACCCTTTTCCTCTCTTCCACCCAGTTTCCAATGAGAACTTTAGTAGAGTATTTGGGTTCAATTTTCCACCAATCCTGTCCATCTTTTTGCGATGCAATCATATTTGTCTACCAGCACTACCTTCCCCTCCCTGGTTGTTGGAACTGTCCTTCAAGTTATGTGGGTGAAAGATTACTCAGTAGTCCATGGCTAAAACTAGGGCAGAAAGGGGCTCTGCTTCTGCCTGCCTGTGTGCTGAGAAATGTGGGTGATGTGTGGAACTGCTTCGCCGTAGAACCGTTTCTGTTTGCTGTCCCCGTGGTGACTGGCGTTCCAGTAACCACATTCTAGGTTGCATCATGTTTACTATTGAGCAAAGCAGTGGCTCCTAACCCACCAAATTCAGCTGTGTTTCTTACTCTAAGAGAGTTCAGAATCAGAGCACAGGGTACGTTTCAAAACAGTGTGATATAAGTGACATACATACTCCTCCATACCAACACACCACACATACCTTCACGACATTCTCTCTTCCCAGACAGACACATTTTATTTTAAACAAGTGGGGCAAACCAGGATGTCCATTCAAAATAATGTTGTTCTTTATTGACACAGCTAAAGTTAAGGGCTTGCCGCGTGGTACAAGCTTGTATAAGGTTTGCATATTCCATGTTCCAACTAACAGCTGGAATGAGGTTCTGATGAGCCTTGTTTATCATTGTTAATGGCTGCACTTTGATTAACTACCCATCACTTGATATTAAATATCCTAAAAAGATATTTTCCTAGGTTGAGGCATGAACAGACTCGTGGAATCTAAGATGTTTACTATAAGCCTTTTAGGAAGTTAACAACGCTGTCCAATCCCCTTTTCCCAGCTGGAAATGAGAAACCGCAGTAATCATATAGGCTTATGACTCCATGGAATCCATCCTCGAGGTGGTACCAGGTCACTTGAACACCGTTGTCCTCCAGTCTCTTCTTGTAAAGCAAGCCATCATCCCTCAGCACATCATACTCACAAGTCAAGATGAAAGACTCTGGCAGTTGCTGAACAATAGCATCCTCAGCTAACAGCGGACACAGGTTGGGCTCACAGAATCTTTTCACTGTCTCATAAACTTCAGCTATAAAATCAGTGGGCCTAAGTGGCTTCACACCTCTGACCTTAAATTTTTCGGGGATGTTATCTGGACTCACCCACTTCCTGTACTTCAACCTCATCTCTGGAGGAATATGGGAGCCCTCCAAGACCTCTTGCATATGCAATGCATCCCCATTTAGGTACTGCAAAGCAAAGAAAGCGGCACGTTCTCGGAATAAGAGAGGGACTCCTCGATTTTGATGATAAGATGGTAAATTGAAGTCCAGCGCCTGAAGGCCTGGGTAGATCAAGATCTGAGCACGTAGTTTGGGGAGGTCTGATCTACCTGCAAGGGTCTGGCTAACAGCGTCTGCTAGATTGCCGCCAGCGCTGTCCCCACAGACAATTACATTGGCAGGATCCACGCCGTAGTGCTCTATATTCTTCATAAAGTGTATGGTAGCATTAAGACAGTCTTCATACGCAGCAGGGTATTTGTGTTCAGGAGCTAAACGATACCTAGGACACAGAAAGAGACAAGTATAAGAGAAGGAAATGTCATTAGTATTAATCAGGAAATGGTATCCTATGCTGTCTTCCAGCCCTATCACTTTGGGGTGTGTTTCCTCCGGGTCAGGATATTCATGACCTCCTAAGCAGACATCCCTCAGTTAGTGACTGAGGATGAGCTGTGAATTGTGTATTCAATCACAAGGTCTCAGCAAAATAGGATTGTCTTCTGATTAAGAGTCTGAGCAAGACTTTTGCATTTCTTAGTTGTGCTGAAAACTCCCTGTGTATTCTTGACAAGGTAATTTAATAATTTTGTGCCTCCACTTCCTATGTGTAAAATGGGAGTAATACAGTGTGATTATTCTCTCTTTTTGTTTAAGTCACAGTTTTTTGGAGCATCTTATTACATGTTCATATGTTCAGCACAAGGAAGACTTTTTCTACCTAAGTTTTGGGTTGGCTTTTATAGATTTTCTCAGTGGGCCAAATATTTCCATTTGAGTCTTTTCTGAGTATATCAGGGCATGAACAGTTAAGAGCTGTGAAATCTCTGTTAGTGCTATTTGTCTCTTTATGGACTTCACTGAATTCTACAGAAATTTCTCTGCAAAAAAAGAACATCTCCAGCACCAGTGCAGCTCTGCTGTGGCACCACAGCAACAATAACCTCCAAACAATAGAACTGGGTAGGGTCCACTTACTGAACGGAGACAACTACTGATTCACTTTCCCTGGATAGGTAGCGGCATACTTTTTCATAGGTATCTGGAAAAGAAATATTTTTATTAGTGCTTTGCTATTGCCCTAATCTTTGAGACAGCTGGGGAGTGTTCATTCCAGAAAGGCATGTATTTGTCTTCAGACTTCCTCCCAAATCACATGCTGAAACCTCCTCTTATTTCAATTTTATAGAAAGATGAGAATGCTCTTTCTACATGACTATAATTCCTCCAGCAAATATCTTACCGAGACTTCCAAACACCCAGCCTCCTCCATGAAAGAAGATGATACCTCTCCTTCGCCCATCAGAGGTAGCTTTAGGCTGATAAACCCTCACAGGTACTTTGTTAAACTGCCGATCCTGGATGAAGAGCTTTGGATCTACCCCTAGCTTCCGTCCCTGTCGCACGTATCGCCCAAATGTGATTTGACTGCAAAGTCCAGTCTTCTCCAAAATCCTCCCCTGTTAAAGGTAAAAGAAATCAGCACTTCTTTAAGTCTTGAGTTAGCCAAGGTACAAAAACTCTGCACCATACTTACATTGAACTGTATTTGAGGGACATTTTAAAGAAACACGGGGCTTACCAAAAAAAAAATTTAAAAAATGTGGTAACATTGTAAAATGTGGATATGCTGTAAGAAGACATAATAATAACAGCACAAGAAGTTAGAGTAACTACAGCGAGGACTGTTAATAGAGAAGGATAATGACTATGTAGGCATCTCCCAAAGAGATGTTTGTTCAAACAGGTTGATTAGTCCTTGGGGTTTGCCTTAATAAACCCATGGAAAACAGTGAGGAAAAGTAACTCCACAGCTGGTTTTCTTGATAGGAATGCCCAGTCCTAAGAAAGTGAGAGATCCCAGGAGAGAGTCAGAAAACTGTATTTGTTTTAAGTTTGCCTAGATTAGTTTTACCGAAAAGGAGAATTTCTACTTTTTGTCATACCAGTAATCACTGGAATCTAAAGAATCAGACTGAGAAATCTAGGCTTCACATACAGCAGTTTGACCCTGTTGTCTGACAAAAATAAAGCTCTCTGATTCGGGAAAAACAATTTTCCCAAGTTCTCACATCCTACAGACTGTAAAAAATTTATTTCCAGTACTCAAATCCAGTGTCATTCTAATATCACATCAGAAATTTTATATAGACCATCCAAATGGGCTGTCTTGGAGTATACATTTTAATTGTTGGTATTGTCCTGCACACCTTTGTGCTCATTCTTCTGTCATTTATGCTTGATAACAGCAATGAAATGTCGTATATAGAAACAGCCATAAAAACTTTAATAGTTCTTCATTGCGTAAACTACTATTCCTGAATTAGACCATAAAAGTCAGTAAATTTGCAAATCTTAAGTGCCGAGTTGTGTTGTGCAAGTTAGTTACTGCTTTTTATTTGCACAACAGATTGACTGAGCAAAATCAAGCAGCTTCCTTTCCCAATGCTCTTGCAATGATCTTGCAAGCTAGAGTGTGGATCTGATGTAATAAGTGAACAAACAAGAAGTTGGGAACCAAATTAATTAATAGAATCAAACAAACTGTTATAGTTCAGTTACTAAACAAGATCCCCATCTTAAATGCCCAATGACAGTCTGTCTTTAGCCATTGCCTTGTAGTCACCTGCTAGTGGGGTTCAGGAGAGCTGGGTAGCTTTGTCAGTAAATTTCAAGAGGATGTAAATGGTGTAAGAAACAGTGTGGAGGAAAATAAGATCTGTGTGACAGCAAAGACGATGGTGTGGCTAAAGGAGCAAAGGATAAAATTGAAGATTTAAAAAAATTAAAAGATACAGCAAGTGACAGAGTTGAGGAGAGCTCTAATGCTGTTTATGCAATGCTGTAAAAGGGAGTCCAGGGATTAAGTAAAGCAGCCCTAACCGGATTTTGTACCATAAATGTCAGCAGTGGCAGGAGCAGTTTGAAGGGCTGTAGTTTTCCTTGTGCAAGGTGACTTCGCCTAAAGCTGAGGGCAGTTATCGGGCAAAACACCAGCTCAGCTCTGAATTGGCGACTTAAATCAACACGGCCGTTTGCCAGCCCCTGCTAACGAGCCCTGGCATGCCACTTCTGAACTGGGAATGGGTTTTGCCAAAGACGAGCAACGCACCGACTGAGGGTGCTCCCCATGATGTGCAGCCGCAAGCATCACATGAGGGCGGCAGGGACATGCGGATCCTAATCCAGGCTCCTTCCCCCCACCCTTCCCAGCGCAGTCCGGGGGCCGGGACTCGCCTGGGCTTTGTGCCACCGGCGGTTGCCCACCCTCGCCGTTGGGAACGGCGGGGAGCGGACCTGCGACACCCCCGTGGCATCCCCC